AAAAGGAGAAAGAAAAAGTTGCAAAAGGGTTCCCATTTAATTTCATCATAAATTAGAGTTCTCGGAAAATGACGCAATACGTTTATTTTCTGTTCGTATTCGATGTATGCATGTATGTATACATGTTGTATTCATCAATGTGCTATAGTTTGGACATTTTTTTTCTTTTATCTTAACAGACTCGCAGTTGGATATTTTCATTATGTATTTTTTTTTAATTGCAACTTAGAAATTAAACGTTTGTTTGTATTTTAATAAAAATTTTGTTTAGATTCTATAATCTAATATGCAAACACACATACATATCCATGCTTTGGATGATTTTAAAAAAATTTTCAGAAATATTTTTAATATTTTTAATATCTTAATTTCATGGCCATATTTTTCATGGCAAAAGTTTTGTTACAAGCTCCAAATACAGTTTTTACTTGAGAGTTTTTTACTTGAAAATCGTGGGAGCTCTGCAAGGAGTAGGTCGAACAGTGGACCTTAAAAATTTTTGAGATAACATTGAATTTATGCGAATTACTAATTTTTCTGTCGAATAAATCAAAATTTTTACCGGAGCTAACAGATATTTGCAATATCTTCCAATATTTTAAAGAATCGGTTGTTTCATTACACAACCGATGATTTTGTAGGTCTCTCCAAAACAAAAGTTAACTTTTATCATAACAATTACAAATATTTTTATAGTTACCGATAAAATTTTAGCACGATGAATAAGCAATATACATATATAACTCTAGAAGACTACAACTCTATGTTGTTTATCATAATTTCGAATGAAAATTACCAGGTGTACTCTTAGCTGCTTATTATAATTTCGAATAGAATTCGAAGATCTGGTGTATTTTTTCAATAAGACAGAAAAATATGAGCAGCATTTGTTTAAATTCTTAAACTTTAACACGATATCTTAACGAGGTCAATCGCAATAAAATAATTTGAAAATGCAAATTACATAAGTTTTAAAGAATTTATTTAGAGTTAAGAAAGAATTTATTTTGCTCACGTATTAAGTTCAATATTAAAAGACAGAATCACGCAAGAATAATTCATAAGTTAAAAAATTATAAAAAGAGAAAATAAGAGAATTGGCACATGATACACAAACATTTACATATTTAAGATTTGCAAGAATTTTGTTTAGTTGTTATTAAATGCATGTAACAAATATGTGTAAATTTAAGTATGTACATTAAGATTATTTAAAGATGTTTTCAGTTTCGGAAGTTAAATAGAAATTCTTTTTCTAACTTTAAATAAAAAATTATTGAATTTTTTAGATTTTGATATTATATCAAAAAAATTTCATATTAGAAATTAGAATTCGAATAAACTTAAATTTCATGATTGGCTCTACAAATAAGTGTGTAGTACTAATAATAATTATTATAGCAATCTAGCAGCAGGTCAATTCGTTTTTTAAAGTACATATGTACGTATAGTACACAAGGTTATTCACAATTATTGATGATGAACATAATTAAAATTAAAGTTTTGGTATAATAAAAATTCGGTAATTTACGAAATTTTTAACCGGAAGCATTTAAAAATTTTTTTTGGAAACTTGTAACTTTAAGTAACTTTAAAGTGAAAAAACAATTTTCTTTAAGTGCATGTACTCAAATGTATAAGAAAAAACAAATACTTCGTGTTTGTTAATAACCATAAGTTAAGTTGCTTGTTAATAGCCATAATAAAGTTTTAATTTTAAAAGCTATTAAAAATAATTTAAAAATTTTTCATGCAAAAATTTCTTTCCCCCTTTGTTTTTCTTGTGTTAAAAAAAAGTTATTTTTTATATTTTATCCTTTCAATGTAGAAAATAGTAAAAAATCTTTATGAAGAACCACCCATTACAACAGTATATATACAAATACAATAACAACTATGAGTATATACACAAAAATTATAAAACAATAGCGTATTTAATTTTTTTTTTTGTGTAGAAAAACAGTAAAACTACTCTTCTAAACAATATATATGTATATATTTGTTACAATAATAATAATAATTGTAGCTGTAATATTAATAATCATCACCATAATCATCATTTTTATTATAAGAACATAAAATCATCACTATCATACTAAAATTAAATTAATGAAGAGCAATGTATTTATATATACTTGGGATCATAAAATAATTGCTTGCCAACCCAATTAGAAATTAAGTCATAGGAAAATATTTTGTTTAGGACTTTTTTTAATGATTAGCTTTAATGAACCGAGTCAATGAGTTTTTCTTTTCTTCAGTTTTTTTTTTCTTGTTTTTAAATTTTGTTTTATAATTTATATAGGTTGTTCATTTGAAATCAATATTTAATTCAATAAAACTTTCTTATACATTTATATTGCATAAAACACGCATAAAAAAAAAAACTTTTTATTTTATATCATATGAGACTCAAATACAATTGAGGGTAAAGAAAGAGAAAACATTTTCTTAGAAACATAAAAATTATATTGGAATATTTCCTACTAAAACCATTTAGCAATAAAAAAAATAAAATTTATGAAATGGGTGCCTTGCCTATGTAGCATTTTGTTGAAAGGAATTTGAAACTAATACACAAAACAAAACAAAAAAAAAAACAAATAGTTTTTAATTACTATTTTTAACGCTTTAAAAATTATGACTCCCTTTATAAAATGTTTTAAAATATTTTAAGAAATTTTATACGAATTCTTCTAAAAATTTGGTAACAATATTATTTATTTTTTGTTTGATAATTAAGGAATTTTGTTGCAAGCAAGTATAGTATATAATATGAATGTATGTATATCAAACAAAATTTTTCTCTTTCATTGCGATTTTTTGGGTGTATGTATAAGGAGAACACATTTATTAATATAATATTAATATAATTTATGATAAATCAATAAAATAAGCGGAATACATTTAAACAATATCAAACAAAATTCTTCTGCATCCACACTCCAATCGAAGAGGATCCAATCGAATATGATTGAAAAAAAAAAAATGATACTAGTTACATAGGCCTTAATATATTGTGCCTTTCTAGCTAAAACATATATTGTAAAATTGTCTATAATATTTGTCCATCAAAAAAATGTTTAAACACTAAATCATTTTTGTAGATTTTCACGGCAAAATATTGTTTATAAAATAAGATTTATAGTCAAATATTTACACAGGAAAATTTTTCTATTTCATTTTGAAATATGTGTATACATGTATGTATACTTGTCAAAAATATTTTTAAAAGAACATATTTTGTAAATATGGGATATAATTCTCACCTATATAAATGAATATTTGTTCAATTATCTACATACACGCCAATAATTCATTGGAAACCAGAAATAATAAATTTAATTTTAGTGAACCATAAAGAAACAGGAAATATTTATACCCGTACGAACGTATGTTCGAAGGGTATACTAAATTTGCCTTACCGTTTGTAACACTAAGAAATAAAGCTCTGAGATATAGACTCAAGTGTATGTTTTAGATCAGCACGGAATTCCGAGTTGATTTAGCTTTATATGTCCGTGCGTCCCAGCGATAACTAAAAAACTAATTGAGCTATTTTCACCAAATTTTCACAAATAATTTATTGTAGTAAGTGCCGGAATCCTATTTAAATGATCGAGGTACTGGTTCGGGTATCTGCCATACAACTTCAAAATTTATTTGGCTATATCCGAAAAACTATAAAAGCAGTGGTATTGATATTTCACACAAGTAAATATATTAGTAGGGCCAATGTGTTTGATAGAAGTAGTTGAAATTGCTTGGATCTTTCTGGTAGCTGCCATTCAACTTCAATAGTAGTTTGGTACACACAGTATTTTGAAAAATACAGTACTGAAATTTTGCATAAATTAATATGGTAATACGGCAACTTAAAGTCACAGTCTGTGCCATAGCCAGTTATGTCATATTTATTCGCACTTAGGACAACAAATTCGTACGGATATCACAGAGTTGACAAAGTCAACTCTATTTTTCTGGTTTTTTTTTTAAATTCAATATTTTTGTTTGGAAAGCAGAGAAAATGAGTGTTTTTAAAATGAAACCATTTTCAATAAGTAAAGTTAATTTGTGCAAAAAAACTTTTAATAAACGTTTATCTATAAATATAATTAATTCACATGTTCATGAATACGAATATACAAAGTACTCTCAAATAACTCATAAGTACATAAATACGTCTTGTTAATAATATTTGCAATATTTAACCACATATAACTACAATGAGAGAAAAACTATTTTCTGTAGTGCAAAACAAAAAAACACAATTCAACTTAAAGCCGATGAAGCGTGTTTGATGCTAAATTTTACATATATTATTATGTGAATCAAATTTCACTCAAGTAGAGCAGCATTTAAAATTTGTATTAAGTGTATGAAGAAAATAACATAAAATTATAAAAGTATAACTACATTTTTAAAACCAAAAATAAGACAAAGACTTTACACTTTTGTATTCTTTTTAACACCTTACAGTGATCAATTTACATAAATGTGTTATTTGTTTATGAACCTAATTTAAATGATTTATTAAAAATCATTAACAACAATGTATAACAGTTATGAGTATGCAACACATAACTTAAATTTTGAAAATTCAATAACTTTAAAAATTAATATTTAAAATAGGTTTTAGGTTAATTTATATTACACTTGTGTATTGGCATAAATATTCTCATGAACTTTAGTTTTAAAGTGTCTATCTCAAATAGAAAGATAAGACAGAGTGAAAGAGAACACAGCTGCTTCTTGCAGTAGGTGGTTATAATTTTAATATTTTCAAAGGGAATAACAACAAATTGATTTTCTTAACAAAAGTTATTATAGGAAAAAGACATTTTGTAATTTAGAAAAATTTATTAGCTTATTTTTGATAAACTTAATTCAATTATATCGAGATGTGAACTTTGTAATTATTAAGAGTATGTATGGAAATATTAAAGACAAGAACAATAAATTCTTTCTAACATTAAATAAAAACAAAATAATTTACTCACCTTTGTCAAAGTTGTAAAAAAAGCATATAACAATGTTGTCAACTAAAACGAAAAAAAAATTATAAATAAGTACGTAATTCAATCAAAATATATGTATGTACAATATTAATAATAGTAGCTATATCTATACGAGAGATATTATAAATTTACCGTTTCGTTTGTAATGCTAAGAAATGTAGATGTGGGATATAGTAAGACATATAAATATATGTATATTGTTCTGCTATGTATATTGTTATAGAGTCGGATTCTTATTTGATTTAATCATATTTGTTCGTTCAAAAATCTCACTCTATTTAGAAATGATTGAGAAAACATGTAACTGTGATGTCATAATAAATCATGCTTTCGAAAACACTTGATATACGCAGTGCTAAAATGTAATGCAAAATATAAGAATATAGCTCCGTATGTTATTATACTGACATGGTCATCTCTGCCTATTGTTGTATTATTTCGTGTTTGAATATAAAAATCGTGACTAACCAAATCTCTGGGTTGTGAAAAAAAATTACTTATATTTACGAAACTTTAAATTTAAATAATGTAAAATTTGATATTTTTTATTAAATTTTATATTGCATATAGCTAGGAGAAACTAATAAGTAATAGTTTGAATAATAAATTTATTCTACTATTGTAGAGATCAATTAAATTTCTAAAATTAAATAATTTAATAAAGGTTTTAAGGTGCATATCTTAAAATAAGAAAAACGATATTTAAATATTTTTACTTATTTATTAAGAATACGATTTGAAATATTTTTATATATTTTTAATAATTAAATACATTTTTTTTTAAAAAATTCGTTGGTTTCATATCGAAATTAAAAATAACATTTATGCCAAAAGAGCGTTGTATTATAGCTCTATTTATGTAGCTCTTTTTTTGTATTAATTGTGTTTCCATCAGAATTTGTCTTTATCATTGTATACACAACATAATGGTTTTTATTTCAAAACTTTGATTTTTAACGGTTTAGTATAAAACAAAATGCATTTATGTGAAATTAAGAAGAAATTCAGTAGCAGACTAAATTGATTAATATTTAGTCGACCTGTATATAACTAACTCCCGTTAAATACTGTCTTTCAAAAGCAAAATAAAATTGGCTTTTTTCATTTTTCCAGATTTTCGTTTATAACTTTCGGGCTTATAAGATAAATCGGATATACATAAAAATTTTCCAAATTTTCGAAATTAATGAAAATGTGCCTTTAATATTATAAAATTTAAATTAATAAAAAATGGCAAATTATATTTTTAGTATAAGTAATTATTTTTTCCTAGAACTATATTTCTAACGTTTTAAAATAACATTTTTTACCTTAGAATTTTTTTTTAATAAAAACCCAAAAAAAAAATCCAAGTAAAATTGAATTCCGCTTAAAATATTTTCACCCTCTTTTAAAGAATTTCAATGCCCCAAAATATGTACTCATTCAATTTCTATACAATATAAATTTAATTTTTAGTTCATAGAAAGAAAAGAAAAAGGGAAAAAAAACAACAATATAAAATTTTAATAAAAAGGACCTTACTTAGAAAATCCACTCACCTAATTAAAAGTTTGAAAGTTTTTTGTTTTCTATTTTCCTTTTTTCAAGAATTAAAAAACAAAAAAAAAGGGTTTGTACTAAGAAAGTTTCTCTCTATATATATAAAAAGTTTCACTGAATGATTTTGAATCAAAATTTAAATAGGATAAATTATTACAAAATACTTACATAATAATTTATATAAGTGGGTACCATAATAGAAAATATCTAGAAATTATTTTCGTAAGGAGTTAAGGAGGTCGTGTATCAATAATTAAATTAAAAACTACAATTTATTCAGTTTACTGTATAGATATCAATTTCTATTATATAATAAAATTGTGCGATAATTATAATATCTACATAATATATGTAGGTATGTATATGAAATTAACAGGAACCTCAAATTTAAATATTATAGAGAATAGAATATTTCACCTTTTTCGAATTTTGCAAGGACCGGAAATCCGAGTAAAAGTTTACTTATATCAAAATATAATTTAATATTCCCTTAAAATCTTCTCAATTCGCTATTCAATTACCTTACCATTTAACTAAACTTTATGTTTGAAAATTCATAAATGCAAAAAATACAATTAAATGAAAAAAAATCATAATATGTAATTTTTGGCAATTGCAACTCGGCATAACTTTTTAGATATTAAAGTAGCTAGTTTAAAAAAACTATTATAATAACAAAAATTAAGCGGTTTTTTACTTAAGGCTGTAAACAATAGAATAATTATAATTATAATTTCTTTGCTATTTAGTAATAAATGCTATCAGTCAACAGTACATCAGGATTTCCTTTGCAAATTCTTTGGATTTTTGTTTCTTTTCTTTAATGTTTCCCAATAGTCTACAAAGTTTATTTACATTTCCGTAATAATTTCAAAGACATAATGACGCGCGTTATTTGAATGAAAAAGAATTATTTATGATTCATTGTCTTTTCTTTTATTATATTCGTATTTTAATAATATGTAAATATTTTAGGTTTGCAATTACTACTAACAGGTACTTCACTTAAAATTATAAAAGAAGATATCTTCAGGTAAATGGTACCTACAAACGTGTTGCAATACTATACCCTTTGAAATTTTCTATAAACACGATCTTTTTTAATGTGAAATTTCAACAACGTTTAATTAACCTGAACAGTTTTCCAAAAAATTTAATATAAGCAATTGCCTAAGTTATGAGTATTTAACGTATATCATAATTCTGTTTCAAACGTTTCAGGTATTAAATGTCTAGGTAACACTACACCTTGGAATTACATGCAATAAGGGATAAAAAAGCAATAATTTTTCAATTAATTATCAATTTTTCACAACTAGTGAATCATTCTGCAAAAGTACATTTTTGTATACAATAGGGTAATTTCTTCATTAATAAAATGCTAATATGTCTACTTAGTTATGTAATTTCCTTTTTGCTTTTCGGTTTTAAAAAGCGGATATACTCTTAGTTCAACAATATTAATTAGTAGTAAGTAATAAAAATGCTAGTTGAAATTCTAATTTCAATTCATTAAAAATTCACTGTCACTTTCCAGGAAGATAAAGTTTTAGCCTTGATTTTAATGTGAGTAGCATAATCAATTACAATGAACTGCAATCAATATTGAAAAAAAATGCAAAATAAAAACAAAATTGTCGATTTCTTTTCGCTTCTATAAAGTTTTATGGCTGGAGATATTTTTTTTTTAATTAATTCTAAGAAAATTATTTTTTGCAAAATAAAATAAAATGTGACTACACAATTCAACTGGATAAAATGGTAATCTACAGACCTACTTTTTATTCTAGTCATTTTTACTTACTACGTTGAATACAATAAGGGCAGCACCTTTGAATAGAATATATAAATGATGTGAAGCAACCAAATTTAATATACAATTAACGTTAATGCATCTCTCCATACTAGAGAAAAAAAAAAATACACAAATAATTTTTTAGAGAGATGACGGTCTGTCGGAAAGCTTTGACAACCTTCTGTCTATATTTTGAAAAATTTTTGAGAGATTTAAATTTTTTAAAAGTGTAATTAACTTTTTTCTTTTAATTTTCTAACATTTTAACATGTAGGCTTATTGCATTTATAATGTTGGTACTTTGATGTCGACAAAATTATTTTTCCATCTTCCTGTTATTTTATCAGGGCTGATGAACTGTTTACCTTTTCTTTTTCAAATAAATTAATGCAACTTACGATTTATTTCATCAATTTAAATAAAATATTCAAAACTAAAAATCAGTTATAAATAAATTTCCCTATTGTGATTGCATATTTATCTATTTGTCGTATTTTTTTTATAATATTGAAATAAAATGGGTAAAAATAGAATAAAAACTGTTATAACAGCTCCTTAAGAACTTTTGTATTAATTAAATTAAATTTATTCATAATAGAACATATTTTTTACTATATATATTTTAAAAATAGAAATTGAAAATAAAAAAAAAAAAGAAAACAAACACGTTTTTATCGCTTATAAGATCGTTTTACTTAAATTAAACTGAATAAATTTTGTAAGCGATTAAATAAAATCTTAACAATAGATAGGAAGTAGCTGCCTACAAAAAAAGATAAAAGAACATTTTAAAATATTTAATTAGTAAAATTTATAAAATAAATTCATTATTATAATTTCATTATTATTCTGGCTAGAACACAGAAGTATTAAAATCGGAGGCGATTTTTTTTTTTAATTTTTAAGATACTACAAAAAAAAATTTTTTTTTTAGTCTATAAAATCATCATTTTCGGCATAGAAAGAGTGCAATACATTATAAATAAATTTTATAAATTTAGAATATAAAAATTATTGTGTAATATACGATTAAATGAACCGAACCATTACAATGTTGCATTCCGTATTTTTAACTTTTAATTCTTATTCGGTCTTCGTAGCTTAAACTCTTTGTACTATATACAATATCTTTACTGCAATATTTCAAAAGGATGGTACGAAATCAACTCTGTAAAATTCCAAAGATATTATATGTAATGAAAAAATAATTCGCTATTTTATTTATAAGTTTTATTAATAAGTTTAATAAAGAAATTAGATTTAAATTCTTACAATTCCAATTGGACTCACTATTAAAAGCAAAGAAGTTCATGCTTCAAAACGATAATGTCAATTCATCAATCTGCTCTTTGATCATTCTAAATAGTAATCAGAAGAGCTCAGCTGAGACTATTATAAGATTAAAATCATTTAAGTATAAATTATTAAAAAATTATGGGTGAAACGCTTCAAGTTTTTCTCTTTTTCCATAATAATTCAAATTTTCCTATTTTGAAAATTCAGTGTAAATTAAATGGAATAAAAAATATCGCTGATAGAAACAAAAAAAATTAATACCAAAAATTATTCATTCGGAAAGAGTTTATTCTTCAAAACAAATTATAAATTTTTTGACATTTTTTTTCCCTCTATATATTTCTATCTCGTTCCCCCCTCTTTAAGATAATATCATATAATATTATATAA